TGCTTGCTCATAGGGGGTCATATGATTGTTGTTGTTTTTCTCTGTATCTATTATTGTACGATCTACTGTAAAATATAAAGCACCTTGAGGCGACTGTTGTTGTGATTTGGCGCTATATAAATAAAATTGAATTGAATTGAATTTAAATAATCACTCCTTCATCCCCATTACCCTGTAGGAGTCAGGGCAGAGGTGCACAGAGAGTGAGAGGGGAGAGACCTCTACTGGAGAGGTGAGTCAAGGATTTCACACTGTTAGTTACAAGTTGCTAGAGTCATTGTTTTTGAAATGACGAAGTCTAAAATCTGTGCCATCATGGCAGATGAAGCAAGGGATGAAAAGGCAGAGCAGTTAACTGTTTGTGTCAGGTATGTGTCAGCGTTTCCTAGCACTTGCAGAGATAAAATCATTTGATGCCCAGTCCATTGCAAATGAGCTTCAGCAGCAGATCGATAAACAATGGTCTTCATAGCGTAACTGTGTAGCATAAACATATGATGGTGCAGTCGTTATGAGTGGCTCCACTGGAGTTGTAAAAGCACATTTTAGAAGGCTCGATCCAGAGGCTATCTATGTGCATTGTTATGCTCATCAACTCAATCTGGTTTTGTGCAATACTTGCAAGGATGTCCCAGAGGCTGTGGAGCTGTTCAGCTTGTTGGAGTGTGTGTATACTTTGTTCAGCACCTCACGAGTCAATCATCATAAGTTCACGAAGGCTCAGTCAAAGCTTGGATTGACAAAAACTGAGCTTGTGCAACTTTCAAACACTCGCTCGGCATGTCAGTTGTGATCAATCAGTGCAGTTCTTGCAGACATGGCCTGCCATTTTGGAGTGTCTGCTATCTGCCATTGGATCCCCATAGCTGTTGGTTTACAAGTTCTCAACAGTCTGTGCACTACTGATGTTTCAGTCACTTCTGTCTGTAACTGAAGGACTCCACAAGTTCCTGCAGAAAGAGACTTTAGACCTGGTAGAAGCTTTTATCTGCAAACAAGCGGTGTGTGACACACTTAAGGGCAAACACTCCGATGCATTTTTCCACAGAGCAGTATGAGCAGTATGAGCAGTATGAGAAAACCAAGGCCCTGTGCAACACCCACATAATCCCTAAATCAGGTGCCAAGTCAAAGGACAAACAGAGGAAAATGGAGGATTTTGTGCTGGAGGCAACTGTGGGTTCACGCACTGAAAACCTGTCCTTAAAACCTGGTGACACCCCTGTCCCAGGTCATAAATTGGTGTTAGTTTTCTAGTGGCTGCTTCTGGTTCATGTTTTCTTTCACCTTACAACTAAGTGTTGGGTTACATTAGGATAATTTTTGGACATGTGATTTGAATCAGATGCTCAGGGTTTTGAAAATGTCTTTTTGAAGTGAAAACAATTGAATTTTTAATGTAGCTATTTTGGGTGGTTTGCAATTTGGCTTTGTTGTCATAGGTGTTGCCATATGAAAAAAAGATTGTATGTGCGTCCTCATAAAGATCTGTGTTGGTGTGTGGGGCTGTAGCCTCAGGTTTATATTGTTAACTGGTAATTATGAGATAGTTTCAGGTCATTTAATGGAGTATGGCATATTACTTACACAAACAAAATATCATATTCTGATGGCTTAAGAGCCAAAGCTTTAAATAATCATTCCACAGACGATGCCATAGCTCACCTGCTCCACACATCCCTGAGTCACCTGGACACTGGCAGAGGGAATTATGTTAGGATGCTGTTTGTTGACTACAGTTCAGCATTCAACACAATAATTCCCTCTAAGCTTTTCACCAAGTTGAAGGATCTAGGACTCAGCTCACCTCTGTGTCAGTGGATCCTCAACTTCCTCACAGACAGACCCCAATCAGTGAGGGTGGGAAAACAAGTCACCCCCTCCATCTCACTCCACACTGGAGTGCCTCAGGGCTGTGTTTTAAGCCCCCTGCTGTGCTCACTGTACATTTATGAGGTGGTGTCTAGCCACATCAGACACCACCTCCGTTGTCAAGTTCGCTGATGAAACTGTTGTTGTGGGCCTGATCTCTCATCGAGACAGCCTACCTGGAGGAGATTAGGAACCTGGAGACCTGGTGCCAGGAGAACAACCTCCTAAATGTCAGCAAGACTAAGGAGTGAGGAATCATGAGCCCCTGATCATCAATGGCACACCAGTGGAGAGAGTGGAGAGTTTCTGGTACCTGGATATCCACATCACTCAGGACCTGTCATGGTCCTGCTACATTAACACCCTGGTTAAGAAAGCCTGCCGGCATCTCTTCTTCCTCAGAAGACTTAGAAACTTCCATCTTAAAAACTTTTACTCCTGCACCACTGAGAGCATCCTGATGGGAAACATCTGCACCTGGTTTGGGAACAGCACCAAGCAGGACAGACAAGATCTGCAAAGAGTGGTGCGCTCGGCCAAACACATCATTCGATCAGAGCTTCCTGACCTCCTGTCCATCTACACCAAGCGGTGCAAGACCAAAGCTAGGAAGATTATGATGGATCTCTCCCATCCCAGCAATGGACTCTTCTCACTGTTGAGGTTTGGGAAGCGCTTCCGCTCCCGTAAGGCCAAAACAGAGCTTCTTCCCCTAGGCTATTTGGGCCCTGAACAAGGTGTAGGACTGGACTCTCCCACACACATCACATCACTGTAGGACTGGATTCTTTCACACACATCTCATCTCCACACGCACTTTGGTTTTTCCTTTTACACACTTCTTATAATTTATAATTTCTTTTTGTTAATAATTTCTTATGTAAACTGTTATTTGCACATCTTACTGTAAATTTTCACCTCATGTCATACTGTTTATGGTTGTGTGTGACAAATAAAATTTGAATTTGAATTTGAAATGTTTATAGAATACATGTTTCTAACACAATGTAGTGTAGTTAGACTAGATAGAAGAGGATTCCGATGTTTTTGAAGTTTCTCACACTGCCATATGTGACAGGTGCAAACACTTTAAACCAACAGGAAACATCAGACATTTGGTGTCAACTAACCACATTATAAAATGTCACACATGGTCACAGTCACTTCGTCATTTTGTTCTGTCTTGATACTTCAGGCATCTGTTGAAATGGTTGTCTTTCTTTCTTTTGTTCAAACTGATGGGATCACACAGATCTTTTTGAATCTTGAACTTTTTCAACTTCTTTATAATTTAACTTTAAGTTATTTTTTTTATTTTATTTTATATATTTACATGCATGTTCTTACCTTTTATGCTCCTCTGTGGATATTTGCTCATGCTGAGGCTTTAATAGCTTGACCAGAGTTACTCCAGTTGTCTCTGAATAAATAAATAATTTCTTTTTCTCCTTAAATAAACTAATAAACTATAGGACTGGATGGAATTCAACAAGAAAAACTAATCCTAGATTTACCCGTTACAAAGTAGTGTTGATGTGCGTGTGTGTGTGTTCATATTGTTTTATTTGTTTTTGTTTTATTTATAAAAGATCATTTTCTTTAAAAAAAAAGAAGGATCACAGATGATCTTGTACTTCAGCCCTTCGTTGTTACTCTTTAAAAAAAAAAAAAGTCTTTGATTTGTTTCAAGTGTCACCTCACATGCCAAATGTGGTCAGGACATTTATGTGTAAACGGCACAGTCTTACCGCTTTACTGTAGAAGTTCTGTTCCTTGGTTAATTAAGAAAGGGGCAAAGAGCCTCATGTGTTGACTAAAAAAACACCTTGTGTATTTTTATAATGTACACGATTTTTTCAATTTACACATTGCACATCTCATGATGGTTGCTCACATCTAACAGAAGCTCCTTCTTCATTGTTTTGTTGATTTACAACAACATTCAAGTTGTAATCTGTGTTGCTTTGTGGGGGCATTAACGATCCTGACTTCAGACTCTGGAGAATTCTAGGAAAAAAGTGGTGTGTTTTTTAGAATTTTTAATGAAATGGAGGCTTCATCTACAGTCGGGTTTGTAAGTAATTTCTTTTTTTATTACTTGCTCCATTTTAACACAACATTCCTTCCCTTTTCCTTTCAAGGGTATCCAAATTGTTTGATTTTTTTTTTTATTATTGAAAACACTTTATATAATACATTTCACAGGTGCTCTCACATTTCTCGTATATAATAATCAGATCAAAAAGGAAAAAATAATATCAGATGCAAAATATTATTCACATTTTGTTAATATGTTAATTTTTTTGGTTTGTGACATTACTTTGAAAACCTGCATCACTCTGGTGTTTATCAGACTGAAATGACTTTCAGACACATACTTTTTTAAATTACCCTTTTACTCCTGCTTTCTCACAAATACTTCTGTGAGGATTTGAGCAAAATGCATCAAACCAACACTTCAGATCTTTAGTTCCACCTTTTTCTCCCATCCTTGCACAGTCCTCTCCATCAGGATGTGTCCCATAGTGCCCTTTCCAATTGTCTGGGTCTTTGCCCCACCAAAACTTCAAACTAAGAAATGAAAAAAAGAAAGAATTGTTTCAGTAAAAACTGGTAACTTTAAGCCAGGAAATTAAGAAAAAATATTTTCACAACAATCAAACCTTTGATCCAGTGATGATCCGTCCACCCACACCCATCTGCCCTCTGCTGCTGAGTCTGTCAGTCCGATCCAGAACTTGTCCTCATCTTCAGTCATTGCATCTCTCAGTCTTCTCTCCAGAAAAGTCTGATCAGGAAAAGAAAATGAAAATGACCTTGTTTAATTTTCTGTGCTGAGAAGGTGAAACAAAAAGATGGGGGGAAAAAAAACCCAAAAACAAACGTGAGAACATGAACCTGCAGCAGTGTTTCATACCTGCTCCTCTCTGCTGTCTATCTTAACCAGCTCTCCTCCTTTAGCTCTACATTCATCTCTGCTCTGTTCCCAGGA